CCTCTGGTGCTGTGGCTGTGGTGGGTAGTTTTGCTCTCCCTGGTGCTGTGATGGTAGTTGTTCTGTCCTCTGGTGCTGTGGCTGTGGTGGGTAGTTGTGCTGTCCTCTGGTGCTGCAGTGGGTAGTTGTGTCTGTCCTCTGGTACTGTGGCTGTGGGTGAGTGGTTGTTCTGTCTCTGGTGCTGTGGATGTGGTGGGTAGTTGTGCTGTCCTCTGGTGCTGTTGCTGTGGTGGTAGTTGTTCTGTCCTCTGGTGCTGTGGCTGTGGTGAGTAGTTGTTCTGTACTCTGTTGCTGTGGATGTGGGTGGGTAGTTGTTCTGTCCTCTGGTGCTGTGGCTGTGGTGGGTAGTTGTTCTGTCCTCTGTACTGTGGCTGTGGTGAGTAGTTGTGCTGTCCTCTGGTGCTGTGGATGTGGTGGGTGGTTGTTCTGTCCTCTGGTGCTGGGCTGTGGTGGGTAGTTGTTCCCCCTCTGGTACTGTGGCTGTGTTGAGTAGTTATGCTGTCCTCTGGTGCTGTGGATGTGGTGGTAGTTGTTCTGTCCTCCTGGTACTGTGGCTGTGGTGTTGTGCTGTCCTCTGGTGCTGTGGATGTGGTGGGTAGTTGTTCTGTCCTCTGGTGCTGGGCTGTGGTGGGTAGTTGTGCTGTCCTCTGGTGCTGTGGATGTGGTGGGTAGTTGTGCTGTTCTCTGGTGCTGGGCTGTGGTGGGTAGTTGTTCTGTCCTCTGGTGCTGTGGATGTGGTGGGTAGTTGTGCTGTCCTCTGGTGCTGGGCTGTGGTGGGTAGTTGTTCCGTCCTCTGGTTCTGTGGTGGGTAGTTGTTCTGCTCTGGTGCTGTGGCTGTGGTGTGGGTTGTGCTGTCCTCTGGTGCTGGGCTGTAGTGGGTAGTTGTTCTGTCCTCTGGTGCTGTGGTGGGTAGTTGTTGTCCTCTGTGGTTGTGGTGGGTAGTTGTTGTCCTCCTCTGGTGCTGTAGCTGTGGTGGGTAGTTGTTCTGTCCTCTGGTACTGTAACTGTGGTGGGTAGCTGTGGTGTCCTCTGGCACTGTGGTGGGTAGTTGTTCTGTCCTCTGTGACTGTGGTGGGTAGTTGTTCTGTCCTCTGGTGCTGGGCTTTGGTGGGTAGTTGTTCTGTCTCTGTGACTGTGGTGGGTAGTTGTTCTGTCCTCTGGTACTGTGGTGGTTGTTCTGTCTTCTGGTACTGTGGTGGGTAGGTGTTCTGTCCTCTGTGACTGTGGTGGGTAGTTGTTCTCTCCTCTGGTACTGTGGTGGTTAGTTGTTCTGTCCTCTGTGACTGTTGTGGGTAGTTTCTGTCCACTGTGGCTGTGTGGGTAGTTGTTCTGTCCTCTGGTGCTGGGCTGTGGTGGGTAGTTGTTCTGTCCTCTGGTGCTGGGCTGTGGTGGGTATTTCTGTCCTCTGTGACTGTGGTGGGTAGTTGTTCTGTCTTCTGTGACTGTGGTGGGTAGTTGTTCTGTCCTCTGGAACTGTGGTGGTTAGTTCTGTCCTCTGGTACTGTGGGTAGTTGTTCTGTCCTCTGTGACTGGTGGGTAGTTGTTCTGTCCTCTCGTACTGTGGTGGTTAGTTGTTCTGTCTTCTGGTACTGTGGTGGGTAGTTGCTCTGTCCTCTGGTGCTGTGGCTGTGGTGGGTAGTTGTGCTGTCCTCTGTTGCAGTGGGTAGTTGTTCTGTCCTCTGGTATTGTGGCTGTGGTGAGTAGTTGTTCTGTCCTCTGGTGCTGTGGATGTGGTGGTGGTTGTGCTGTGGATGTGGTGGGTAGTTGTTCTGTCCTCTGGTGCTGTGGATGTGGTGGGTAGTTGTTTGTCCTCTGGTGCTGGGCTGTGGTGGGTAGTTGTTCTGTCCTCTGGTACTGTGGCTGTGGTAAGTAGTTGTGCTGTCCTCTGGTGCTGTGGATGTGGTGGGTAGTTGTTCTGTCCTCTGGTACTCTGGCTGTGGTGAGTAGTTGCTGTCCTCTGGTGCTGTGGATGTGGTGGGTAGTTGTTCTGTCCTCTGGTACTGTGGCTGTGGTGAGTAGTTGTGCTGTCTCTGGTGCTGTGGATGTGGTGGTAGTTGTTCTGTCCTCTGGTGCTGGGCTGGTGGGTAGTTGTTCTGTCCTCTGGTACTGTGGCTGTGGTAAGTAGTTGTGCTGTCCTCTGGTGCTGTGGATGTGGTGGGTAGTTGTTTCTCCTCTGGTACTGTGGCTGTGGTGAGTAGTTGTGCTGTCTCTGGTGTGGATGTGGTGGGTAGTTGCTCTCTGTTGCTGGGCTGTGGTGAGTTGATGCTGTCCTCTGGTGCTGTGGATGTGGTGGGTAGTTGTGCTGTCCTCTGGTGCTGTGGATGTGGGGTAGTTGTGCTGTCCTCTGGTGCTGTGGATGTGGTGGTAGTTGTTTCTGTCCTCTGGTGCTGGGCTGTGGTAGGTGGTTGTGCTGTCCTCTGGTGCTGTGGATGTGGTGGGTAGTTGTGTCCTCTGGTGCTGTGGATGTGGTGGGTAGTTGTGCTGTCCTCTGGTGCTTGGCTGTGTGGTGGGTAGTTGTTCTGTCCTCTGGTACTGTGGTGGTTAGTTGTTCTGCTCTCTGGTGCTGTGGTTGTGGTGGGCAGTTGTTTGTCCTCTGGTGCTGGGCTTTGTGGGTAGTTGTTCTGTCCTCTGGTTCTGTGGTGGGTGGTTTGTTCTGCTCTCTGGTGCTGTGGTTGTGGTGGGCAGTTGTGTTGTCCTCTGGTGCTGGGCTTTGGTTGGTAGTTGTTCTGTCCTCTGGTACTGTGGTGGTTAGTTGTTCTGCTCCTGGTGCTGTGGTTGTGTGGGCAGTTGTGTTGTCCTCTGGTGCTGGGCTTTGGTTGGTGTTTCTGTCCTCTGGTACTGTGTGGGTAGTTGTTCTGTCCTCTGTGTCTGTGGTGGGTAGTTGTTCTGTCCTCTGGTTCTGTGGTGGTTAGTTGTTCTGTCCTCTGGTACTGTGGTGGTTAGTTGTTCTGTCCTCTGGTACTGTGGTGGTTAGTTGTTCTGTTCTGTGACTGTTGTGGTAGTTGTTCTGTCCTCTGGTACTGTGGTGGGTAGTTGTTCTTCCTCTGTGTGACTGTGGTGGGTAGTTGTTCTGTCCTCTGGTACTGTGGTGGGTAGTTGTTCTGTCCTCTGGTACTGTGGTGGTTAGTTGTTTCTGTCCTCTGGTACTGTGGTGGTTAGTTGTTCTGTCTTCTGTGACTGTTGGGTAGTTGTTCTGTCCTCTGGTACTGTTGGTAGTTGTTCTGTCCTCTGGTACTGTGGTGGTTAGTTGTTCTGTCCTCTGGTACTGTGGTGGTTAGTTGTTCTGTCTTCTGTGACTGTTGTGGGTAGTTGTTCTGTCCTCTGGTACTGTGGTGGGTAGTTGTTCTGTCCTCTGTGACTGTGGTGGGTAGTTGTTCTGTCCTCTGGTACTGTGGTGGTTAGTTGTTCTGTCCTCTGGTACTGTGGTGGGTAGTTGTTCTGTCCTCTGGTGCTGGGCTGTGGTGGGTAGTTGTTCTGTCCTCTGGTTCTGGGCTGTGGTAGGTAGTTGTTCTGTCCTCTTGTACTGTGGCTAGTTGTCTCTGTCCTCTGGTACTGTGGGTGGTTAGTTGTTCTGTCTTCAGACTGTTGTGTGAAGGTTCTGTCCTCTGGCACTGTGGTGGGTAGTTGTTCTGTCCTCTAGACTGTGGGTGTTGTTCTTGTCCTCTGGTACTCTGTGGTGGGTAGTTGTTCTGTCCTCTGGTACTGTGGTGGTTAGTTGTCTGTCCTCTGATTCGTGGTGGCAATTGTTCTGTCTTCTGCATCGTTGTGGGTAGTTGTTCTGTCCTCTGGTACTGTGGTGGGTGAAGTTGTTCTGTCCTCTGGCACTGTGGTGGTTAGTTGTTCTGTCCTCTGGCACTGTGGGTGGCTAGTTGTTCTGTCTCTGGTGACTGTTGTGGGGTAGTTGTTCTGTCCCTGGTACTGTGGTGGTAGGTGGGAAGTTGTTCTGGTCTCAGACTGTGGTGGGTAGTTGTTCTGTCCTCTGTGACTGTGGTGGGTAGTTGTTCTGTCCTCTGGTACTGTTAGTGGGTAGTTGTTCTGTCCTCTGGTACTGTGGTGGTTAGTTGTTCTGTCCTCTGTGACTGTTGTGGGTAGTTGTTCTGTCCTCCGGTACTGTGGTGGTTAGTTGTTCTGTCCTCTGTGACTGTTGTTCTGTCCTCCGGTGCTGGGCTGTGGTGGGTAGTTGTTCTGTCCTCTGGTGCTGGGCTGTGGTGGGTAGTTGTTCTGCCCTCTGTGACTGTGGTGGGTAGTTGTTCTGTCCTCTGTGACTGTGGTGGGTAGTTGTTCTGTCCTCTGTGACTGTGGTGGGTAGTTGTTCTGTCCTCTGGTACTGTGGGTGGGTAGTTGTTCTGTCCCTCCGTACTGTGGTGGTAGTTGTCTGTCCCTCTGTGGCTGTGGTGGGTAGTTGTTCTGTCCTCTGTGACTGTGGTGGGTAGTTGTTCTGTCCTCTGGTACTGTTAGTAGTTGTTCTGTCCTCTGGTACTGTAGGGGTAGTTGTTGTCCCTCTGTGACTGTTGTGGGTAGTTGTTCTGTCCTCCGGTACTGTGGTGGTTAGTTGTTCTGTCCTCTGTGACTGTTGTTCTGTCCTCCGGTGCTGGGCTGTGGTGGGTAGTTGTTCTGTCCTCTGGTGCTGGGCTGTGGTGCTGTTCTGCCCTCTGTGACTGTGGTGGGTAGTTGTTCTGTCCTCTGTGACTGTGGTGGGTAGTTGTTCTGTCCTCTGTGCTGGGCTGTGGTGGGTAGTTGTTCTGTCCTCTGTGACTGTGGTGGGTAGTTGTTCTGTCCTCTGTGACTGTGGTGGGTAGTTGTTCTGTCCTCTGTGACTGTGGTGGGTAGTTGTTCTGTCCTCTGGTGCTGGGCTGTGGTGGGTAGTTTTGCTCTCAGGTTCACATCCAATTAACCATTCTCATTTTGTGATTCTTTTATATGCTCAAACAACATACCACGATCTTAATACTCCACACACATCCACACATACATTACAATCTGTCTCTATTTTGCAGACATTCGGTCAGCGGGTGTTGGGGGCGATGGGTTGGATAATCGCCTTTTTCGTCGCCTGCTCCACGTGTGGCTACGTCAACGGAGTTATCTTCGTCAACTCTCGCATGGTGTACTCTGGGGCTCGAGAGGGTCACTTTCCACACTTCCTGTCCTTTATACAGGTGGACAGATGTACACCCATCCCTGCCGTCATGTTTACAGTCCGTATTACTTCTCAAATTATTTTGTTTGACCGTCGATTTTTTTTTTTACAGTAAAGGAAATATTTATGGAGTAGTAATCACATGTTTTATTTAATTTTATTTCTATAATTACAAACGCCTCTTCCTCTCCGATACTGTGTGGCTGAATTTAAATTTGACAGATTCTTACATCCCACATCTAGTATTCCTTACCTGAAGTATCCGAGGCATTCTATTGGATATTCCCCGTGAAAAGCAAAAACTCTTAAGAAATTCATTTTACTGTACCTTTATGTATTATTCTTGCTTGATCTCTGTCTCCCACTTGGTTTTCTATATGACTTAGGGTTTAATGAATAAAAATGCATAAGGGTGATATTCGCTTATTGTCAAATGTTGGTTGTTGTTGACACTAAGAGCATGTATAAATAATCAGATTTATACATAAGGCACCTGGAGCTACTTATACATAATACGTATGCTGATATGCCACTACCACAGGTGATATTGCCGCTAGTGATGCTTATGGCTCCTGACGTTGGGTGGCTCCTGACCTACTCCGTCTTCGTCAGCAGTTTCGTCACCCTCGCCCCCGTGTTGGGTCTCTTGTGGCTTCGCTATAAGGAACCCGACAAACCCAGACCCATTAAGGCGAGTTACATGTTTTGTTTTTTCACTGATTTATTTGCTCGACTTCCTTTCGTTTTAATTTTCTACTTAAGATTAAATATTTTCAACATGATTATAGAACACACACACACACACACACACACACACACACACACACACACACACACACACACACACACACACACACACAAGCAAAACACACATCATCCACTACACACCACACATCATCCACCACACACACAAACCCATCATCCACCACACACACAAACCCACATCATCCACTACACACCACATACCCACACATCATCCACCACACACACAAACCCACATCATCCACTACACACCATATACCCACACATCATCCACCACACACACAAACACACATCATCCACCACACACACACACACACCATCCACTACACACCTGCATTTTTTGGGGGCATTCACACCTGTCCCTCTGGCGCGTGGCAGGTGTGGTTGGGGTTCCCGATACTGTACACGATACTCGGGATGTTCGTGGCAGTGTTTCCTGTGATCACGAGGCCAGTGGAGATCGCTTTCGCCCTGGTTGTCGTAAGCGCTGGTTTGTTTGTCTACTACGTCACCCTCAGGAAAGCCACCAAACCCAAACACTTCACACAAGCTCTAGGTAATGTCATTTCAGTTTTCTTATAATAATCTTAAATATTTAACTTTTCTTAACCTAAATAACACACCGTTATAATTTTTTTAGGGTTAGGTTAACATTTTAAAGGTACGAGCATTGGGTGGGGATGGAGTGGTGCTGACTCCCCGGCCGAAATACAACAACTCACTCCCTCCCTCCCATAGGCTTCCTACTCCCATTATATAAACATCTAACCTGTGTCGGGGCTATAAAGATAAAACTATACATATACAGGGCAACAACATCCCGACCACCACCCACAGGACCATTCCCCACCCTCACACTAGTCACCAGTTGAAGCAGCTCAGTGTCCAGTAAGATCACGTGAGACAGCTAGCCAGTATCCGCGGGTGGACGCAAGAGCCGAGAGACCGGTACCGAGAGCTACAGATGGACATCCAGCACGAGAGCAAACGTGGGAGGCAGCCAACAATTACTGCGATTCTGCTGCCTTCTAGAAATGCATCACGTGACTGATGGGTTCCACCTCTAACACGGCCCCTTACCTGCTCGACCAAAACAACGTGAAAATATTCGAGGGGGAAACGAAGAACAATTACATCGGCGATATTTACGGAAGATCTTTACCATTAGTGAACAGGAGAACGAGCGCTTCGACAGGGAGTTTGAAGAGGACATTTTAGGTCAGTTGCAGGACCATCAGCACCTGCTCCAGCTGCTCCCACGGACTGACTTCACTAGACTGGTGGACAGAAGCTACCTGACGGAGCGCATAGTTCCTGCAGATGCAGCTGTCATAAAAGGGTTTAAAAACAAATCACCTGGACAAATTCATATTAACAAGAAGATCCTGGCCCAACTCCCCGACGACACGATAGAGAGGCTTGCTCATATATTCAATGCCTGCCTCGCTTCTGGAAACTTCCCTAAGATGTTCAAAATCGCCGTTACCCGCCTCAAACCAAAAGCAGGGAAGCCACCAAACAAAGTTGAAAACTTTCGACCAACATCGCTGCTAGAGGTACCTGCAAAAATCCATGAAAAAATAGTAAACAAACGGTTGCAGATGTATCTAGAGTACCAAGAGGTGCATAATCCCCGTCAGTTCGAGTTCCACGAGTACCGAGGCACATCCACCGCCATAACCCAGGCCTACGAGCAGATCGCCAACGCCATGACTGGCCGCCTGCAGTGCAACGTAGTACTGAGGGACGTCAGCAAGGCGTTTGACAAAGTTTGGCACGCGGGGCTGCAGTATAAGATCATACAACTGGGGCTGCCCGAAAACCTGACGCGCATGCTGTGCATTTTCCTTACGGACCGCAGAGCCAAAATTAAAATGCAAGAACATTGTGGAGAAGAATTCTCACTCTCGAGCGGCGTGCCTCAGAGATCTTGTCTCTCACCAACCCTTTACACGCTCTACACGGCTGACCTGCCACCCCCAATCGTCGGCAGTGAGTACGTCATGTATGCCGACGATGTAACACAGATCGTCACCTGCCCAGGAAGGTCCACGGCGAGGATGGCGCGACTCATTGCTTGGACATTAGAGGGTATCTCGGAGTATGAAAATAAATGGAAAATAAAAAAACAAAACGAAATTCGAGGTCATACCCATAGCCAAATTCAAGCCGGCGCCATTGATGAACGACGACGAAGTGATTGAGTACTCTAAACAAGGCAGTTTGCTTGGCCTCATAATGATACTAAAGAAAGCCAAAGTCGCCGCCGCTAAATTAAAAGGCTTTAAAATGACCCCTGAGAAGATACAAGTCCACCTGTACAAGGCGCTGGTGAGGCCTGTGTTGGAGTACCCACATATACCACTTGTCACACTCGGGAAGACTAGACTACAACAACTACAGAGCTTCCAAAACAAGTGTTTGAGATCAGCCAGTGGCCAAGCGCCACCCTACTAGGAGACAGTGGAAACCATCCACCTGAGAAATAAAACAGAGGCCCTCAACGTCAGGTTCCATTGCCTAGGGAAGAAGGTTTGGGACAAGCTCCTGGACGACCCTCACAGCCCAGACCACCTATGCGGGGAAGACATCAACGAGAAAAACAGAGATACTATTAAGAACAAGTGTAGTGTAATAAAAGTGTTTATAAACTGAGAATACTCCTGCTACCTCTGTTCCACTGACACTGCGCGGGAGGCCCGTTCACGGCTTCCCCTCACACCGCTGACACGCTGTAGATGCCAGTTTCCCTTGTCCTGTAAGAGGGTTACGCCTCCCAAACACCGCTGACTTCCTAGGAGTGCCAAGCAGTCCTCGGCCCTCTGACGTAGACATATAGGTCGAGTCCTGTAACTCCTCTATGTCTGAGTTGATTGGTGACCCAGCTACTCGCTTTAACTTTCCTGGTGCACTGAGTGAGCCAGGTGACTGTGGTGTTGATCTTGACACCAATGGAGAGGATGGCTTTTAACTAGTTCAGTCCAGGAACAAGCGGAAAGCCGAAAATGCAGAAAAACTTAGAGACCATCAACTACAACTTCAACCCTCCATGAGAGTGAGATTAAACTTCCCTGTAGGTACACCACCTGAAGTCAAGTATCGATGGCTGAACGATGCGGAAGATAACACCCAGACGCTGAGTTTCAGTTCAGAGTCGGTACACACCATCTTAATCATAGGGCTCGACCAGTAGCAGACTCCTACACTACTAGAAGCTCATCCCGACATCAGAAGGACGAAGCGACTCAGGGGCAAGAACGCAGTCATTGCAGACTGGGTTGGCTCAGGGGACCCACCCAAGACCATTCGAGTCCGTGGTGCCTATCGGACTCTGAAGGTAACTCTCTATCAGCCCCCTACCCGGAGGTGTTACAATTGTCAGCACTGGGGCCATGTGGCCCGATTATGCCCCTCGACTAAGCCGTGGTGTGGTCTCTGCTCAAGACAACATGCAACACAGGCTTGCGGAGATACAGTTGCTCAAAGGGGTGTCATTCAACAGAGGTGTATTAACTGCAAAGCAGTTGGAGTTCCTGTATGGCACCCCGACTGTCCCAGAGCTCCTACGCTCCTTCAGCGCCCAGACCCGCCACCCAGGCAGGTCTCAAGAAACACTTCTGCTGCTAGGGTACTCCCGACGGTCAACCCCTGGCCCACCCTCCACACCAAAGCTCCAGGATCATCACCAGCAGTCATCGAAAGATCAGTATGGGGCAACACAGATGTACCGACACAACAGGTAGCTGCCAACACACCCCGTGAACACGCACAAAGTGAAGAGATCAATGATTTGAAAAATGAAATTAAAGACTTAATGCTCAATTTACAGCTCAAACTGATATGTTAAGAAGCTTCTGTGATACACTACAGAAAAAGCACACCACCAACACAGTGCAGCAGCTATGGAAAGATTACAGTCCTGATGGGTGACCTGAATACTAGACAAGAAATTAGGTGACTCCACCACTAACACCAATGGTAGGAGACTTATCTCACTTCTCAGCGCATATGATGATGTTCAAATTATAGGTAATAATGAACCTACACACATCTATGGCGGGGGTCTAGACAAGTGTGTTGGCTTTAATCTATCATACACAACTCATAGCTCTGATGTTGTCACTGATCTTATGTCTGACCACAGCCCAATCCAAGCTAGTATACATGTAGCCAATGACACCCCCACTGGTGGTAAACTCAACAGACGTAGAATCACAGTCAAGCAAGAACATGAAAGCCAGTTCATAGACTTCATCCATGACTGGTACAAGGACTACAAGCCTGACAACTACCAAAGTTTCCATGACGATCTGATAGATAGGACTTATACATACTTCACCAACAATGCCTCCACCAAAAAAAGGAGAAAACGTGGTCAGCATAATGGGAACAGGCAACAGCAGTGCTATAATGACCCTGAGCTGAAAAAACTCAGGGCTAGGGTCAGGAGGGTGGGTAAGGGTTACAAACAAATTAGAACACCTCAAATGTTACAATTGTATCAAGCTTCCCTTGCTGCTGTCAGGGAACGTGTAAACGAACTCAGACAAAATGCATGGGAGACATATGTCAACAGCCTGAACCAACACACATCCCTCAGCAAAGCCTGGAAAGACATAAACACAATCAGAGGTAAAAACAGTAGACACGTCTCCCATCCAAACCCTCTGCAAAAGTCGAATGAGCTAATAACAAAGTGGGCTCATGTGTCTAGCTATGACATGTTACCAGCTAGGACTCGGGGACTCCTTGATGCGAAGTCTGTAGAGAGAAGTAATCTTATTAACTTTATGCTGGGCAAACAGCACGATGAGTGTGATGTTCCATATACTGAGTGGGAGCTTGACGCCGCCCTCGCCAGGGGTAGGTCTACTTCCCCTGGAGAGGACGGAGTCACCTACAACATCGTTAGACTACTAAGGCGTGTGCCGGGCAATCCATTATTGGTATTGTACAATATGAGTCATGCCGAGGGCCAACTACCCACATCATGGACCAGCAGTATTGTTGTACCAATACCGAAACCAGGACAGCCTGATGCTTTTCGTCCCATATCACTAACCAGCTGCCTGTGTAAAACCTTTGAGAGGATGGTTCTTGGCAGACTCTTATATAGAATCAGAGAACACATGTCTCCTAACATAAATGGCTTCACCCATGGTAAAGGTGTACATAATTGCATCACCACATTCTTAACTTTGCATGGTGATGAAAGGCACAGATACGCCACATTTCTTGACCTAAAAGCTGCATTTGTTATTGCCAATAGACAACTGATATTGTACGAACTAGCCAAAATGGATATAGGAGGTAGGCTGTTACATTGGTTAAGTGATTACCTAACCAACAGAAGGGCTGCTGCACTGTTTCAGGGTTACAAAAGTGGAGTACTTAGCCCTACTTTGTTCAATGTTCTTATGAATGCATTATTAAATTTAATACCAGACAACCCCAGCAATATCTCAATCAGCTATGCTGATGGTATTCTTATACATACTAAAACTCATCGTGAAATGCAAACCACCCTGAACCATGTATACGCAGCCTGCGAGAACCTCGGTCTTATTATCTCCACTGAGAAAACTCCGGTGTTCAACAAACAAGCTGGTAACCGCAAACGCGGCCCCGCCAAGTTCAAGATAGGTAACAACGCTATTGACTATGTTTCTTCTTTTGAACATCTTGGTGTCTCCGTCCCTTGTACCTTACCTACCATACAACAGCTAACCCGCCAATGTACTGACAGACTGAGACCGCTTAGAAGTGTAGCGGGGTACAGCCCGCACTATGGTGTTAATATTAGAATTGTTAAAACAATGTACCTAGGCTATATAAGATCTCTGATAGATTACCACGTACCAGCCCTGGTACTTCGTGACGGGAAAGGCGTTGACATGCTCGAGAAAATGCAAAATGAAGCCCTCAGAATTATCCTAGGATGTCCCATGAGCACAAAAGTACTTAATGAGGAAAGAACTAGGTATACCCAGTGTTAAAGATAGAATAATTGAAGTCAACCTCATGATAGCCCTGAGGCTTCTGCGTGGTGATCCTGATAACATTGTTTCCTTAAAATTGCTAGAATGTATGAACAATGGGATTGGTGAGTCTAAATGGATCCAAACTACAGCTACACATATGACGATATTTGGACTAGACCACCTGTACAAAGTTGAGACACAACAGCGCTTCCTGCCACCCTGGCAGACAGTTCCCTTGGATATCACAATACCGACGTATCCGCCTAAAAAATTAATTATACAAAGTATTTATCTCCAACACACTGCCAAAGTGAGAGCTCTTGAACACATACACACTCTACAGACTGATGATAATGTCACACAAACCATCTACACTGATGGAGCTCTTAACACCGCCTGTGGGAGGGCTGGAAGTGCTATTGTTGTGACTCAACCTGACGGTAATATAATTGAGAAAGGAGTTAGAATTAACAACTGGCATCCACTCTACAAACTGAATTAGTTGCCATACACACAGCTATTAAATTCATTGAAATCACTGTCACTGAGTCTCATCATCACTGACTCTATCCTCACTACTTGCCCTTGACACCCTCGACTCAAGTTGTCACGCTCTTGTCTCTGAAGCCAGACACAAATATGCGTACCTTGTTGACCGGGATGTCAGGGTCAAACTGTTGTGGATCCCTCTCACATAGGCCTCATAAAACATGATAGAGTTGATGCCCTCGCCAAACTCGCGTCTAAGAAAGGCACCGTTGAATACAATTTGGGTCTGCCAAAAAGAACCCTTAAAACTGTAATTAGGAAAGAACTTATTGATGAATTTGACGCAAGTAGACTAATGCAAACAGGCACTAGTCGATCCACAGTTTACCAAGATGAGATTATCAAGTGAAACATGTATATGGAGCAAGTAACAAGATCACTAGATTACAAGATGTTGTCACCGCTAGATTAAGGTTTGGATATCAGTACCTCTGGCAGTATGTTCCTCAAGCAGATGTAAACAAGACTAAATGTAAAGTGTGTGGCCAGACATATAGCCACACACTTGAACACTACGTCCTCGACTGTGTGAAGATAAACCTTTTAGGGACAGGTCCAAGCACACTGTGTGTGAAATGGCACAATACTTCGTTTCTAATGGCAAGATAGCCGACATATTAAGATTGTATCCACTTTTTTGCATTTAGTAACTATATCAGTTCTCGTGTACAGAACCAAATACACAATGTGCTTGAATACTTCTCACGCAAATGTGAATAACAAAGTGTGCGGCCAGACATACTGCCTCACACGCCTGTACTCACGCATTTGTGAATGTTACCCTTTATGTATAGAACTAAACAAATAATGTAATTGAAATACTGTGTAACATTCAGTGCCATAATATCCTGACAACGGGGATTAATATTATGACCTTGTAAACTCTACTCTGTAATCCTTTTACGCAACCGCTCACAGGATGAGTGTGGGGTGCAAAATAAAGTAGCCGCTGTAAGCGGCAAAATCAATCATCAACGGAGGGCGACCCCACGCCTGGTGGCCACGGAGTCTGCCCGCATTACAACAACCCAACCCGCGACCCATCTGTGTCCATTACAGTGATCCACCTTAGATTAAAACTCAGATGATATAAGATCACATTTAACAAGTCACAATCTAGTGAGTCCATAACGTAATACAGTATAAGATTTTAATAAACATGTTATTATAAAATCAAACTAGTCATTATCAACCAGAGTAACCATTGTAAAACATCATCCTAAATCCTAGGTTAGTTTAGTTAGCCAACACACTCTGTAATATGTAAAACAAGGGGTGTCGTCCCCCTCTGTTTAACTCATTAAACTTCTTTTCCAACCTTTCCCCCCACGACTGTCTGTCGTGACATCTCTCTCATGTTTGGCTGTGCCTTAAGCCCCAGCATGCCGTCCATCCTTCCCTCACCTTAACATAAAAAAAACCCCACTTAGATCACGTTTCATCTTTTTCTTTTTCAGATAAAGTGAGCTATGTTTGTCAGATGGTGCTTATGTGTACCCCAGAGACCTGTAAGGACGTCAATCATACATTAACTGTGGAGGTTATACAGGTGCCAGAGACCATTGACGAAGAGAGGAACCATTAGAAACCAAGTTATAGTGAGTCGGAAACCAACTATGGCAAGTCGCATGCCAGTTATAGTGAGAATAACACTAAAAAAACAACTATATTATCAGTCAGAAACCAGTTATATTGACGGTACCATTAAAAAAAAACTAGGAAAAGACTGCAATTGACCGACATTTCTGTTTAAGCTGTTCAATTTTAATTATTTTTAACAAATATTTTCTTGCATTTTTTTTTTCTGGTTTTCATTATCTTCTTCAAACGTTTTATTTTTTTCTGTCTTGGGGTAACGTTTCGTAGTTTACAGTTCCTCCAGATCTCACCAATATTGTATAGGTCACAGGGAGGCGAGGGTTATGTAGTAGTTAATTCCTTGTGTGGAAAAAGATAAACACGGAACATGTCTGGAGATAAATACAAATAAATTATACCGTAGTTCCGAGTTTGTCTTTGTTGATACCTGAAATTTGAAGGCGCATTAGGAGTAAAAAATATTACTTTTTTTTTCTGCCTCAGTTTCTTTAGCGTCGTTGTGTCTATATTTTCGTGAGTTTATTTTGTAGTTGGGACTTATTTCACCTGACGATTAAACCAACCTAAAACTATTTTGGGAGCATGAGGTTAGGTTAGGATATGTTAGGTTAGATTTATGTTAGGATAGAATAGGTTTACGTTAGGTTAAGTTAGGTTAGGGTGGTTTAATCGTTAGGTGAAATAAGATGGGGCGATGATTCTTCAGGTGATCCGAAAAAAAGTCCCAACTACATCTTCAAGGGTGAGTACAGACTAAGGAGAAGTACAAAACAAGGTATATATACAGAGGAGGGTGAGATCAAGTCCACAATGGTCCAACATAAATATAGTGTTAGGATAGGCCAGGAATCCAATGCTCTGTTTGTTCATTTGAGGGATAATAAGCATTGCATTGACTGGGATAATGCCTCCTCAATATTACCTCGTAATTCAATGACAGTAGGAACATTATAGAATCTAGTCTCATTA